ATTGTAAGAGTCACTCTTCTATATGCCAACATTTTGTTCAAATTCAAATCACCTGGAAGGCCCTGAAACAAGGAGAAGAAAGCACAGCCCCACAAAGCCTCTCCCATGTGCTACCCCTGCCAAGTCCATATGCACACGGGGACCTCTCCCTGGGGCCTCGCTGGGACCTCTCGCTGGGACCTCTCGCTGAGGCCTCGCTGGGACCTCTTGCTGGGGCCTTGCTGGGACCTCTCACTGGGGCCTCTCACTGGGACCTCTCGCTGGGACCTCTCGCCGGGGCCTCTCGCCGGGACCTCTTGCCGGGACCTCTCACTGGGGCCTCTCGCTGGGACCTCTCGCTGGGACCTCTCGCCGGGACCTCTCACTGGGACCTCTCGCTGGGACGTGCTCATCTGCTCCCACTCTTTTGTTTTTGTTCTTACGAAGTCTCATCATCCTCACGGAAGCAGCAAATGCACACAGCTCTCGCGGGGTAGGGGAGCAGCGCACGGGAGTCCAGGATATAAAGCATTACATTGTGATTAACTCAACAACGCACCTCGTCATCAACATCCGACAGACACTAACAGGATGATCCTGAAATTCCAATACAACTGTCCTTCTTTCAATTCTCCATCTGCTCCCTTCTAACGTGGCATCCCAGGGGAAATCCCAGCCAGTCAAACAACCACGACCCAGGTTCTCCAGAAGTTCTTGAGAACACGTATGAAATCAGAAGCCAGAGGAACTCTCACACGTAACGGCCAACTCCCCAGGTCGCGTTAAAGTCAAGTCCTTGTTTTCTCACAGAGGAACCTTCTGGCAGTCAACTTCCAGGGAAGAGACACTTCTGCTCCTTTCCTCGGAGAATCCTAGGGCACTGAGAACTTAAAGCTGCCCCTTGGCCCCTGGGGACCCACCAAAAAAGAAAAGAGCGAGAAGGAGAGAAAGAAAAGTCTACAGTATAACTGTCAGTTATTTCAGGCAAAGTAAGACACCCAGAAGGTCTGAGCTCCTGAAAAATAGGAGCGATCTTTTTTTAAGAGCTGGCGAAGGGCAGAGGTGACTGGCTGGCTCAGTCGGTTAAGCGTCCGACTCTCGATTTTGGCCCAGGTCAAGATTTCGCGGTTCGTGGGCTCAAGCCCCGAGTCAGGCTCTGGGCTGACAGTGAGGGGCCTCAGTTGGATTCCGTCTCTCCCTTTCTCTCTGCCCCTCCCCTGCTCACGCTCACTCTCTCTCCAAATAAATAAACATGAAGAAACAGGTTTAAAAATAAAAGAGCTGGTGAGTGGCAGAGAAAGCTGGCGTACCGAATGCTGAACCAGAGCTCCCAGCAGCTAAAGAGCCGGTGGGCGGGCAGGTTCCGGAGCCGATGACAGGTGAGACCTGAGTCAGGAGCTCAGAGCCAACAAGTAAGACCCAGCTCACAGAGGGAGAAGCACAGCCCTAAAGACAGACATCTGGAAAGCAACGAGACAGAAAAGGCAGCTACCCTGCAAAAGAAGTCCGCCGGGGTGGGCACAGGCCGACAGGAAAGAAGGCCGACGCGGTGGCACAAGGCCAGAGCGACGGGAGACCACAGACGGGGTGTGTGAGACCCTCTGGCCGCGGAGGCACCGAGAGATCATCAGCAGTGGTACAGGGAGGTTCACGGTTAGAGAGTTTCCTGTTGTTATTATTATCTTCTAACCACAAGTTGCAGAAGGAAAGCCCCGGAAGTATTTGAAAGCACCTAAGAGGCGGCCCGACCGGGAGCTGCCGAGCATCCATTACCTGCCTGCGCTCCCTGCGGGTGAGGCTGTGGCCGTGGAGGACCCGCCAGAGCATGCGCGCCGCAATCTTCGTATCGATCCAGAGCAGGCGGAAGCCGTGGTAATAGTGCCTCAGCTCGTCCAGGACCCTCTGCCCCAGGGACTTCCTCACGGTCGCCTCCGGCGGGGGGCTGTACACGGGGCCTCCCTCCTCCAGCTTCTTGTTCTTGTCCTTCAAGGACTTGAGGGACTTCTCCACGACAGAGTCGTCACCCAGCGGGGGCGTGGAGTGCCAGCAGCGCGTGGGGAGGAACTGAGGCCCTGTGACCAACAGGCCAGCGGGGGCGGGGGCCCACGGCACTGGGGCCACCAAGCACACGCGCCCGGGCCTCGCAGTCCAGCAGCCACGGGGATCGGTCCTGAAGGACAGGTACACGGGGTGGGCAGGAGTGCAGCAGCGAAACGAGACATTCCTTGAAGAGAGAGAGAGGAAAACAACGATGAGGGGCGACCTCCTGGCACCTCAAACCCGTAAGCGCGACACGGACCAGGCTGCGTCACAACCACACAGACACTCAATCTTCCCAGCACCGACACCGAATCCCCACCGCGTCTGCGTGCCCGGGAAACACATCAGGAGGAAGAGGGGCTGCTGGGAAGGGGCTTGTGCGAGGGACTGAGAGCGGTCGGTCCCCATGGGCTCACAGGTGGCACCAGGGCACCAAGGGGCCGGGGGCTCGAAGGAAGGGCAGATTGGACACAAACAGCAGAGCTTGGCCCCTGACCCCCGGACTACAGAACCGACCTCGGGGCAGGTCTCCCAGGTGGCTTCCCAGACTTGGGGAATTGGGGGGGTGGAGGCGGGGCAGGGAGGTCCGTTCCCTACCAGGTGACTTTCTACGAAGATTTGCAGTTCTTGAGCGAGCCCCGGAAGTTACTGAGGACTCTCAAATCCACGGGGACCCAAACCCGTGCACTGTCCAGCAGAGACGTTTGTACCAAGTGGCGAAAACCCAACGAATCACGCCCCGGACCCGCTCCTCCATCTTCCCCACGCTGCTGCTTCTGCTCAGCCCAGAGCCTCGATGACATCCAGCGCTGGAACACCTCACCTGCACGACTCTTGGAGCCCCGGGATCTCCTTCGTACCCCACCCGTCACACTGGACGACGCTCCCCCCCGCCCCCGGGCACAAACCCACCCCCGGGAGGCCACAGGCTCCAAGTCAGCTCATAGGCTCGTGCTCATAACTGACACAAGCCCAGCCTCTTCCCATCGGCTGGAGCATCTCACGGGACCTGGGCTCCGCAGCTGCCTGCCCCATCCCAAATTCCAATCCACTACTCAATGCTGAGACCTCGGGCAAGTTAATTAACCTCTCTCTGTGCTTCGTGAGCATCTTCTGTAAACGTGTGCAGTAACAGACACGTGAAGTACCCAGAGCGCCAGGTGCATACGACACCCACCAGGGAGCTGGCAGCCGCCAATCGGGGCTGGAGGAAGCCAGGGAACGTCTGGTCCAGCTGTACCTCTTACAGGTGGGGAATGCTGAAGGACAGCCAGAGGCGTGCCCGCCTCGGTTCACAGCCTGCATCACGTGGGTGCAGCTGGCACAGGGCATCACCCGCCACCCATCGAGCAACCCCTCAACGACCTCCTGCCTTCAAAGGGCAGGGTCAGTCCTGTGCCGTGAGCCCCAGGGCCCCACAGTCAACACCTGAGCGGGAAGGGCGCGGCCTTGAACCCACCCTGCCCTGACTGGGTCACAGCTGCCGAGGGACAGGCTGCACAGAGCACAGCAGACCCACTCAGTCACTTGCGGCTGTGGGACTGTGGCCCCAGGATGTGCCTTCTGTGCCTCAGCCTCACCTCCTGATGCAGGGATCAGCCTGCCATCCTGTCTCTGTCGAACTTAATGATCCAGGCTCCCGACACTCAACGAGCAAGGAAGCAAGTGGCTTCCACAAGAAGGCGTGATGTCGGCGCTGGACAGCACAGCCAACAGGCGAAAGCAGAGACTCGCGAAAACACAGCAAGCTGAAAGGCACCCAGCATATCCACTGGGGCCAGCGAGGCTCCGGGATCTGGCTATCTTCAAGCACGCTAGAAACTAACATTACCAATATTCTACCCAGAAAGGTTTAGCTGTTTTCAAAAAGCATAAAATTGCGTAATTTATTACTTTAGAAATATTCGTCAAAACAAAACTAATCTGGGCACTGCCGGGACCCTGCTCTGCCCCAGGTCGCTAGAGCCCACGGCTCGGCGTCCCTCCCGAGAAGCGCCCGCCTCACCTACACGGGATCAGTGGGCCCAGCTTCCCACAGGCCCACCACCAGACCTTCTCCTGCTTTCTCTTTTCTTCGCTCCCCTTAAAGTGGGAAAAAACTACTCTGGACAAAAGAAATGTCAACAAGAAATACACAGTCACTACAAGACAGTCTGTTTGTTCACATGAAAACGCTGAGGGACTCCTATCAAAGGCATTCATTTCACCTAAGGGTGCGGGCTCCCACGTCCACCTCAACGTTGACAACTTGCTGCCACCTTCAACAAGAGAAAAACCAGGGGTGCCTGGGTGGCTCGGGTGGTAGAGTGTGTGACTTTTTTTTTTTTT